TTGCATGCATGGTTCACATTAAATTTTTTTTTTTTGAGACAGAGTATTGGTCTGTCACCCAGGCTGAAGGCTGAGGTGCTGGGGCACAATCACAGCCGCAGCTTACCACTGTAGCCTCAACTTTCCAGGCCCAAACAACCCACACATCTCAGCCTCCCAAGTAGCTAGGACTACAGGCATGTGCCACCATGCCCAGCTAGTTTTTTTAAAAAAAATTTGTAGAGATAGGATTTGCTGTGTTGCTCAAGCTTGTTTCAAATTCCTGGGCTCAAACTATACTCCTGCCTCAGCCTCCCAAAGTGCTGGGGTTACAGGTGTGAGCTACCGTCACCGGACAATAGAATACAGCCATCAAAAATCTGGTGTGGGTGAGATAAGACAATTTACCTTTTCATCTACTCTAAAAAGAACTGACCAGCAATCATCAGGTTGAGAAAATTTCTAGGTCACTAAAGAATAAATAAAACAAGCCGGGAGCAGTGGCTAACACCTGTAATCCCAGTACTTTGGGAAGCTGAAGTGGATAGATCACGAGGTCAGGAGTTTGAGACCAGCTTGGCCAAGATGGTGAAAACCCATCTCTACTAAAATTACAAAAATTAGCCAGGTGAGGTGGTGAGTGCCTGTAATCCCAGCTACTCAGGAGGCTGAGACAGGAGAATCGCTTGAACTCAAGAGGCGGAGGTTGAGTTGAGCCGAGATCGCACCACTGCACTCTAACCTGGGTGACAGAGCAAGACTCTGTCTCAAAAAGAAGAAAAAAACAAATAACATATTTAAGTTTTCAGACTTATAAAACTTATTTAAACTTTCAGAATTTCACATTTACGGCTATGATGGGCTGGGATAATACATGCACACTTAAGGTTTCACTTTATATGTTTCCAAACAAAATTCTCAGTTCTTCACTGTCGTATTTAATTTTAATAAAAGTCAAGAGTTGACTGGTGCTTGTTCTTCTACTGCTGAGAACTGCTTACTTACTAATGTGGTCACATTAGTATTATAAATGCCTGATGGGGAATGTCTGTTCAGTTTAACAAACGGAATAGAACACTTCTTAGTTTTGTCATCCACTCTGTAACAAAAAAAATTTTTTTTTAAGTTAGAACCAGCAATAATTATCTTTTAAAGTACAAACCCAAATGACACAGCATCAACTAACAAGCAGTTTAATTAGAATATAAGGTCTACTCTCAAATATACAATGCACATGAATCAGGAGAAACGTTCTATTCTTTATCACTACCCTCATGCCTCCCACCAGCCCCCAACGCCTACCAAACACATTCCCCTCCTTTCAGCAAAATTCCCAAATGGAACTTCCATATACTACTAAAGGCTCACAGCTACACCCTGCAGCAGCAAACACTCAAAACCAATTATCTTTTACTATGACAACCTGCTTTCACATTATTAGACTATATAGCTGTAGATTCTCTTCACCTTAAGCAGTAAAACCCTACTTTCTCAGGACTTAGGTGAATTGCTTTAATCAAATGCTAATAATTTTCATCACACAGCCAAAAAGTCTTTTGAAAGAGCTACCTGACAAGAATGAATAGCATCCAGAATTCTGAGTATAAAAATAATATGGATGAATTGACAAACCCTTGCAATTTCTAAATATATCCTTAAACAATTTTTTGGTCTTATTTTGCTAATTCATACCTGTAACTCTGAATTGGTATAGTCGCAGTCCCCATTGCGGAATTAATACCAGGAGCAACTGCAGAAAGATTGTGTGTAAGTGGGGGAATTGCCACACCTGGATTCCTTGTGTGGTCCACACTGACATTGCTGCAATCTTTGAGGCTCGTTGAAGGCACTATTTTGACATGGCTTGTCCTATTATCATGGAGACAGCTGGCTTTTGAAGCTCTGTTGCCTTTTTCAGCTTTTTCTCCATCAATTTTTGACCCTTTTATTTGAAATAGTTTACAATCCTTAATTTTGGGATCAGCATTGGTATCCTGATCATTAATAAAAATATTAATAAGGTTAATCATCTGAAGAGAATGAAAATTCACCTATTCTTATAGAGTACTTGCCAACTAGAGCAGAATTTCATAAGTATCACCTTTTTATACCTGTTTTCTTTATTCTACCTATGGGATTAAAATTAAAGCCAGATTCTTTCTTATTCAGATAGTTATGGGGAAAATACAAAAAGAATGGAAATGCAGTTCATACAGCTCAGTCACACACACACATGCACACACACACACACACACATTAGTGGAAAAACTCATAGAAGAGGAATCAAAAATGCCACTTTTTTTCTTACATATTCAGAGTAAGGAAACACAAAACTCGTACCTTTCTTCTTTCAGTATACTTGATATGAGTGAGTTGGTGGTGGATTTGAATTACTTTATCAAGAGATCCTGGGTAATTAACCAGGAAAAACAAACCTAACTTAAGTATCCAAATCTCACTTTTCAAATGCTTTACTTAATAGAAATTTCTACAAACAATATTTTTCACTCATATCATTTAAGAAAAATAAGTCGGTGAGGGTTGTTTGTTCTATGTGTCTATGTATGCATGTGTGCATGAAAACACATGTCTAGGCCAGGCGCGGTGGCTCACGCCTGTAATCCCAGCACTTTGGGAGACTGAGGCGGGTGGATCACGAGGTCAAGAGATCGAGACCATCCTGGTCAACATGGTGAAACTCCGTCTCTACTAAAACTACAAAAAATTAGCTGGGCATGGTGGCACGTGCCTGTAATCCCAGCTACTCAGGGGGCTGAGGCAGGAGAATTGCCTGAACCCAGGAGGCGGAGGTTGCGGTGAGCCGAGATCGCGCCATTGCACTCCAGCCTGGGTAACAAGAGTGAAACTCCACCTCAAAAAAAAAAAAAAAAAAGAAAACACATGTCTAGGTGTTCTTGCATCATGAGTGTGATTTTCTGACAAGCACCCTTGCAAAGTCTGGTACATAATAAGTACTCAAAATATGGTCTGTTAAGTTACATTTTTACAACTAAGCTAAAAGTTACCAATTTGCTTACTGCTCAGAAAACTTTTTTCAAACATCATTTTTTCTCAAAAAAATTTTTAAAAAGTACGTTATATTTAAAATGTGAAATATGAACATTTACCTGTACCACAAGTGTTTTTCTTTCTTCACCTAAAGAATCATCTTTTTCTTTTTCCTTCTTTCTGTTTTGGGATTTTCTAGATAAAGAAATATTTCTGGCATCTTTCTGTACTTTTAACTGTAGTTCTTGAGAAAACCTACATATAAATATAGTAAAATAAAATTTTAAGACATGGATAAACCTACAAAAAAATTGACTTTCAAGATATTTATTTTAAAAAAATTGAATGTTAAACTAGTCGATGTTATTAAAAATGAGAAAAATCCTGGCCTAGACCGCCAGTTTGGAAAAGTGTGATGTATACATCTTTGGGGATCCCTAAGAACCTTCAGAAGGTTCACAAGGTTAAGGTCATTATTTTAACATAAAGATGTTTGTCTTTCTCACCAGGTTAACATGAAAGCAGTGGTGGATAAAACTGCTGACACCTTACCAAGAATCAAAGCCGTGAAACCAAAATGTACTAGCAGTCATTGCTTTCTTTATAGCCACACATTTTCAGTTACTTTCTTTTTTTTTTTAAAGGCAGTCTTGCTTAAGTATGTCTCTGATGAAGCAGTAAAAAGGTATTAATTTCATTAAAACCAAACTCTTAAATGCATGCCTTTTTGCATCATCTGTGTAGCAAACAGAATTTATACATAAAGCACCTCTGCTACAAACCAAAATGCAACGGTTGTCTTAAGAAAATTACTTGTGTAATTGTTTGTGATACAAACTAAACTAGATATTTTTACTTGAAAGAAAGACTGACAGAAAAACTATGGTTATTAAGACTTTGGGTATATGGGAAACATTTTCCTTTAACAAATAAACAAAGTGATCTTGTCACTCTTGTTCAAGAAAAACTGAAATTATTGTATCAATGATAAAATTCAAAATTGTATGCAAAAATTACAATTCTGTCAAACTTGTATCCACCACTGTGAGCTTAGCAGCTTCCCAAAACTCAAAAACTATTATGAGATAGAATGTAATGTTTGATGCTGTACAAGAAATGTCAATATTTTTAAGATCAGCATAACTCAGCAAACTAATATTTTCCAAATGACTAAAGGATGATATTACAAAAGCAAGCATGGGTAAAAGATCCACTAAAAAGGCAAGACAGTCTCAGAGGATCCAAGATGGCCGCTTAGGAACAGTTCAGGATTGCAGCTCCCAGTGAAAGCTCAGAGGGTGAGTGGACGCCGCGTTTTTATTGCCCACAGACTAGGAAATTCCCGGGTGGAGGAGCTCCACAGGTCGCCAGCGCGACTGTTTCGGCCAGTGCGGCTGTGCTGGCCAGCGCCGCTGCTTTGCCCCGCGCGGCTGCTTTGTCGGCACCCCGGAGCAGCAGTTCTCCGTACAAAATACACCGGTCCGGGGGCCCTTTTGGCTGGCGATTGGAGCCACGGGAAGTCGCCCATTCGCCGGTTCAAAAAGGGGACTGAGCAGAGAACCAGGACAGTAGACTCCAGGGCAAAAAAAAAAGCGCCACAAACCTCAGTGCCGCTGTTTAAGCCAGCGCAGTGAGTGGCCGCAGGGGAAAACAAACAGACCCCGGCGCCTCTTCAACAGGCGACTGGAACACCAACTTAAAAAAGGCTCTGAGGCAGGGAGCCAGGCGATCAGGCTCGGCTGGTCCCACCCCCACAAAAGAACAGCAACCAGAAACTCTGGATTGAGAGTTTCACAGCAAGCGCAGCTGAACCCGGGACGGTCCAGCTCTGATGGGGAGGGGCGTCCGCCATTACCGAGGCAGCCCGCCAGGACGAGGTAGTCGGCCAATGCTGAGGCAGCCTGCCTACCAAGGCAACCCGCCATTGATGAGGCAGCCCGCCATTGCCAAGGAAACCCACCACAGTGGAGAGACTCCGCCTCAACAGAGGCGGGCCATCATCGCCAAAGAAGTTCTAACTACATCCATATAAACAGGACTGCAGGGAAGTTCACTCGGCAGCGAGGCGGAGCCCACAGCAGCTCAGCAAAGCCTCTATAGGCCGACAGTGACTAGGCTGCCTCCTTGCTGGGCTGAGCAGGTCTGAAGGAAAAAAAAAAAAGAAGGTGGCAGCATAACAGAAACTCATACATAAAGCCCTAAATCCCTGGGACAGAGCACCTGGGAACAAAAAGCAGTTTATGAGTTCTGCCGCAGCAGACCTAAAAGTACCTGCCCAGCAGCTCTGAATGAACAACAACAGAGCTCACAGCTCACCATTTGAGCTCCTTTAAAGAAGAGACCATCTCCTCAAGCAGCTCCCTGACCCCT